TTTGAAGATTTTAGAAGAATGAAGGGTAAGTTGAGAAATGATTAGAGTTCCCAAGTAAGGGAATTTTGGGTATGAAGTCGACGGAGGAAGGGTCTTTGATAAGTAGTGTGGAATGTGGAAACTAGGTTGAAGTACCTCGGGACACTTATCAACTGTAAGGAAGATTTTAAGGGGGACGCTTCATGGCTAGAAAGACTTCTTCATGGGAGAAACTTCCTACACTTTAGCGGGATAGAATTCCCACAAGTAAAAAGCATTTGGATATGCTTAGGGGAAAATGAGGGAGCAGAGGTGGGATGAGGTAGTAGAATCTTCATACTTTTCGCTCGACATTGAAGATAGCTTGATGCAGAAAAAATACAGGCATCGCACACACCTTGTAGCAGTAAGCAACATTTGGAATATTACGACCTTTTCGCCTTTTGTACCAAAAGATACTGTCCGGCTTTATACATGCTGCTGATCCAAGAACTTCTATCAGGCTTCAGGGAACCATGCTAATTCAGGAATTATTACCGAGACTCGCTTTCAGCCAAATCCTGACAACTGGTTACATGAGGATGTAAGAATCCGAAATTCTGTAAATCGTGTATATTAGTGTACTCTATTGGGCTTTGTAGTTGCCTAGGACTGCGATCATAGAAAGTTATTATCAGAATCAGTTGTTGCCTCAATCAACATTGTTGCAAACGTGCTTTCAAAATACTCGAGTTCTTCTCAGTCACCATGGGGTGCTGTTTACTGTTTTGCAAAATCTTCCTTTCTACACACATTGTCTTCCTGCCGAAATTTTCCGTCAGAAAGCAGCAATCGGCTAGATCCGAGCCACTTCTACCTTAAAATCCAATTTACTTTTTATTTGCCACTCAGGTATGGCGACTATGAGGTTTTGGGCGTGGTTGTCGAGAAGTATCTCAAAACGACGGATAATATACTACAAATTGGCTGTGGCAACTCGCAGCTAGCATCGCAAGTTGGTACAAAGATATTCAGAGAATCCATAATGCTTCTGATATATGATTTTTGCAGTTGTACGATAATGGGTACCGCACAGTGCACAGCATAGACACAGATGCATCTGTAATCGACGAACAACGTTTGCGGAATAAAGAACGTCCTGAACTTGTCTTTGGAGTTGATGATGCCACTTCAGTAGGTTTTCTTTGTTAGCGGTGTCCAGCGAACTCGGGGTTATTGGTATCTTATGCGGGATAGATTGGGAGAACATAGCTAAGCCTAAGCTCGAACAACAGTTGATATGGTTTGTACAGGGTGTCCCAAAAGTTTTGTATCCTAGTATTTTATCTGATAAAAACAGTACGGAACAACGTA